AAAAAAAAAAACAAAAAACAACCAAAAGATACCAGCTAAGGAGGACATCATTAAAGCATAGGTATAGTCTAAGCTGGATTGCAAGTTGTCTAAAAAAACAGTATTTTAACAATAAGGAATTAGACAAAAAAGGGAAAAGAATTCCTTGACAACCAGGTCAAGAATGTGACACTGTTTTTAAAATGTTGAGTGCTTGTTAGCACCAGTTGGTCAAATAAAATTTAGTGATTCCTTTCATTTAGTAAACAGAAGCATTCTTCTGTTCATCTGTAAGACAATCTCCAACGGTCTGAGGGACAGTGAACTGGCCCCCTGTGTTAAAAGTTTGAGGACCCCTGCTCTAAAACATATTTCCATTGTAAGTTACAGTCAAAAAAGTTTGAAAGCGTCTCTAACATTTACAATTCAACCAAATCAAGATAAACACACAGAAAGCAATATTCCTCCCCCCCATTACAGAGCACCCAAGGGCAAAAATCCTCCCATGAAAATAAATAATGCACAGATCACTCTATTGCAGATCACAACCGCCAATACAATCACTGTAATAAATTCATAACAAATTACACAGGGAACAACTACTTAGAAGACTCCAAAACATGGCAGGGGAGGGTACAGGAAACCCTTCAGTTGGAGCAGGGACCCTCACCTAAAATGAACGGTGATAACTGAGAAAAAATAAGCCCTGTTCTCAGAGCTATTGTGAGCGCTGCCCCTAGAAAAGCAAGATGTCCTCTTCTCTCTAAAACTGGATTCTGTTCCTACCACAACACAGAGAAGGCTCTGTCCCAGGGAGATTTCTACTCTGTTCAACAACTGCTAATTGTGAAACACTTGGCTATGCCCCTATTATCAGCTTTATCCGGGTTAAAAAGAATAATAATAAAACATCCCAGCAGGGGTGGGGGGCGGCCTGTCAATGGCTTCAGGGCACAATAAAAGTCTTTGCCTTCTTCATAGGTGGAGCTGGTGGGGGAGGGGACTGTTGGGAAAGGGGAGGAGCCAGGACCTGGCTGGGGGGACTGGAAAAGCAGGGAGTCTAAGTTTCACTCGCATTTGGATGTTCTGGCTGTGGCCCGTGAAAAAGAATGGATCATTCCGTTTGCTCCCGAAGAGAGCACTCAGAACTGGGTTAAGCAGCCCAACGCCGACCGGAGTGTGCATCCTCGAATGTCTTTAGGGGGCAAGCAGGTTAGAAAAAGAGCTTGAGGGAAGGGTAGGTACCGTGGGTGCCAGGGAGAGAAAAGCTGGACTCGAGGACTTCCAGTCTCCATTTCTGAAAGGCACTGTTCTTAAGGTCTGGCTAAACCAAACACTGACGGGGGGGAGGAGGGAGGAGAGCCACACGTGGACCCTCAGTTGCAGAGTCTGCCGTGCCGGCCACCCATTCGTCCCCACCCATCATTCACTCGCATTTTGTGGCCATTCCGGCCTCGGCTCCACGCCGCCCGGGCTCGCAGCACAGCCGGGCAACGCAAATGCAGGCGGGAGCTGCTGCTGCTGCTGCTGCGGCTTCTCCGCCGGGCCTGCGCCCCCGCCCGGGCCTGCACAGGGCGGCGTGTGCCGATGCGCTTGCCGGGGCGGGACGGTTCGCCTCGCTCCGGCAGGCAACGCCGGGGGCCGCGGCACGGGCACGCCTGGCCGCGCTCCCTTCCCCAACCGGTATTCTCCCAGAGCCCGCCAGCCAGAGCTGCTGAACCCGGGGTGCACGCGGTGCACAGAGGTAAAGGGTAGGGGGACCCAAGACCCGGCGCGGGGGATCCGGGCGCCTGCGCAGGGATGCAGACCCACCCGCCCGCGCGTGCGCCGGCTCGGTGCAAACTCTCGGCGCGCGCTCACGGAGACTCACCGAGGGCGGCAGCTTGGCGGGCCCAGGCCCGAAGTTGACCACCTGCTTCGCGGCGTCCATGGCGCGGCCGCGAGGGCGGCGAGTCTGCCCAAGAGGCCGGAAGGCGTGAAGAGCGAGCGTCCCGCGGCCGCGGCCGTGCGAGTCGGCCGGCGACTCCGTATCCCGGCCGTGTGCGCGCTGAGCCGGCGCCCCATTGGCCCGCGCTGGCGGAGGCCCTGCGCTGATTGGTTCAGGCGAAGGAACTCGCGTTCCCATTGGCCACGCTCAGGAGCCGAGTTCAGGAGCAGTTACTCCTCCTGTGGTTTACTGTTTCCACCCCCCTTTTCGATCACTGCAAGGCACGCGGGGGATTGCACCAGCCAGCCGGCTCGGCTGAGCGTCCGCCGGAGGATCATGGGCGGCGGGGAGAGGTCGCCCCCCTGCCGGCCTGCTTTTGCGCCTCCAGGTCCTCCATCAGGGGAGTTCGAGTCCTCCAAACCTTCAGCCTCCACTCTCCTGGCCGGACGGTGACTTTCCTAGCAAACTACTCGCCCCCTGTTCACCCACTAATCCCCCGGCTTGCCTTTTGTTCCAGAACCAGCAGACATTCGTTCACCAAACTTTTCTAAGCCCCCGCACGGGCTCCAGATACCCCAGCGGAGAGGCAGATCCCCTTTGCCCCCAAGGATGGAAGTTCAGGGTGAAACAAGGGCCAGACGGTGGATAAGGTTTTTTTTGAACGTGCACGTGGGTCTTGTGTCCCTGAAGCATGAAAGGATGGAGATGGCCAAAGTCGCAGGCGGGGAGCGCTGGCCTGGGAATTCTGGATGCACCTCAGGCAAGTCCTTTAAAGTCACTGATTCTCTGGTTCCTCCTTTGTGAAACGAGTGAGCTGGAACCTGGCGACAGCTCTCAGATTGCGCCCGCGCTGACAAGCTGTGAGTTAAGAAACGTGAGGAGATATTAACAGGAACGCGATACCCTTGGGGAACCGCAGCCCAAGCCAGAGGAAGGTGGCCCTGAGCCAGACCGGGCGCAGAGCCAGAGCTGCCCAAACTTTTCCACAAAAGGGTCTTTCTCAAAAGAACTCCAATGGAGACAGCTTGAGGTTCTGACACAGGGAGGCCCCCTTCCCTGCAAGAAAGTTCTTTGGAAGTCTGGAATTTCTTTTTTTTTTTTTTAATGTGAATTTTGTCCATAATTTAACCTATTTTATTTTAGTATAAAAATGTTTTGTCAAGTCTTTGAGGAAAGTTGATGCTGCACCAGGAATATGCACAGTGCAAGGGCTCCCGTTTGAGAAGTTTTATAATCTGACAGGGTTTCGACTTTTGTTTGCTTTCATTGGTGAGTATGACTGGGCGTGTGGCTGGGAGTTGGACTAGAAAAAGCCACAGTGAACAAGGTCACTGCCTTCTTCAGCATCTTCATTTTTTTAAAAATTGCAAAATGGAATAGTGAGTATGACTCAGCCCATAAACTCAGGCATGCCCGAAGTGTGGCATATCCATTATTCTATATCGTAACTCAGTTTAGATCCCTGGCAGCTGATGCACTGGGGCAGTATGGCAGTTGACCTTTATCCTGGAGTTCCTAACAACAGGGGTTTGCACAGTCCTGTGGAGTGGGATGGGGCACCGACTCCACATGCATTTGGTCCTCTGTTCCCAGAAAATATGGGTGAGTTGTCTCCACTGCCCAGTCAACTGATGTGTTTGCTTCGGTAGATGAGCTCTCTACTATTTCTATGTCCTATGAGGGGCACAAGAATTTTGGGTGGTGTTGGGGTGACTGTTGTCTCATCTGCTAAGATGTCATGCAGCTCTTCCTCCCTGGGGCCCTGTAGTTTCCAAGACAGTATTTCAGAGAAGCAAGTTAGTGTGTCCCATCGGCATCAGGACACATTGACCTCGTCTCTTTCTCCCTCCCATCCTAGAGGAATTGTGTGTGTGTGTGTGTGTGTGTGTGTGTGTGTGTGTGTGTGTAGGGAAAGAAAGAAAAAAAACCAATCTGTCTTTTATGTTTCTTCCTCACATTCTGTCCACAAACACCTTAAATCAGAGCCACAAACTCAGATGTCTCGAGGGACCACTCAAGGATAGAAAACAAGTAATAGGAACTGTGGCAAATTGAGTATATGTCCCCCATTTGTCCGCAGGAAGCAGCTACTCAGTCTCCGTGTCTCCCAGCTCCCCTTGTATCTAGGTGGGCCACATGACTGGGTCCTTCCCTCCCCCATGGAATGTGGGCCACTTGGATGTGTGTCACTTTCGACCAAGGAGACTGAGAAATGAGTGTGCTGCTCCACTTTGTTTTCCCTTTCCATGGGCTAAAAAGAAGACTCCATGGCCTCTAGGGATGGTGGAGACACAAAGACAGTAGAGACACAGCAAGGAAGGTCTCTGAATCACCTGCACTGGACTTGTCATACCTAACTGAGAAATCAACTTCTTTTGTGTTATGCCACTGAAATCCAAGAGACTATTTGTTATAGCTGCTCACATTATCCTTATACTTTCCATCATCCCAAATGCATCAGATGAAGTTCAGATCCTGCTGGTTGTTACCACAGTAGGTGAAAGGGGTTATTTAAACTGTTTTCACCTTTTGAAGGAAAAGCCAGAAACCCAGATTTTTCTATGAAGTCTCCTGATTTTTAAACATCTACAAATGTAAATTGTAGCACACTCTGTACAGGTCAATATTGTGAGAGGCAAAACTCAACTTATATGAGGCCTGATTGAGCCTGCAGGTCACAAGCTCTCCTAAGGACATTTGTTGTTGTTTTTGTTTTTTTTCATTTATTGTAGAGACAAGGGCTTACCAAGTTGCCCAGGTGGGTCTCGAACCCACGGGCTCAGGCAATCCACTTGTCTCAGCCTCCCAAAGTGCTGGGATTACAGGCTGAGCCACTGAACCTGGCTACCTAAGGACTGTTTTATAGTGTTCTGTCCCAAATTTCTTCCAGCTCAACAAAGAACGATCTCAGCTAACTACTCGAGTAAAGAAACAGGAAGAAGGAAAATACTGGGGAAAAATAATTTAATCTCTAAATATTATTCTGTCCCCCTTGCCTATTTTGCAGAACAGATGTGTAAAGTCAGCCCAGGGAACCCCTGCGTTTCATGCGGGCCTCTTCCTTCTTCGGTAGATTCTCATTTAGCCGGTAAACAGAAACTTCTTTATGAAACATGTAGTTTATAAAAAGGCAGAATTTCCATTTTTGCAAGCATTATTTATTGAGCTCTTCTATATATCATAGATGACGGGCTCTGCTGCGGTTTTCAGTCGGATCTGGCTGTCCTGTTTAGAGGGGGTGGGAAGAAAAGAAGGCAGTCTGAGCAGGGGAGAAAACCTACTTAGAACAAGACAAGATTATTTCTGCTGCCATTTGTGTACTATGAACTATAAAGATCCTTTTTCCTTATTGTTTTTCCCAGAGAAAATGAGGAAAGCAGAGAGGGAGTAGTCATAGTTTATGCAGCAAAAAGAAACAAGGAGGCAGAATCCTATTACATTCTTCTATCTCTTTATTTCAGTGTATTTCCTTACCCTACTTTGCTTCATTTTTTTATTGTGATAAAATATGCGTTACATAAAATTTACCATTTTCAAGTGTACAGTTGAATGGCATTCAGTACAGTTACAGTTTTGTGCAACCTTCGCCACCATCCACCCTCAGAACTTTTTCATCTTCCCACGCTGAAACACTATACCCGTTAAACAATAACTCCCCCCTTCTCCCATCTCCGGGAACCACCATTCCACTTTCTGGCACTAAGAATTTGGCCACATTCTAAGTACCTCCCATAAGTGGAATCATACACAATTTGTCCTCTTGTGACTGGCTTATTTCACTTAGAATAATATCTTCAAGGTTTATCCATTTTGCTTTTTTTTTTGAGCTGGAATCTCAAACACGGCTACCACAGCCTCCACCTGCTGGGCCCAAGCAATCCTTGCGCCTCAGCCTTCCAAGTAGCTGGGACTTCAGGCCCACACCACCATGCCTGGCTAATTTATTTTTTTAATTTATTGTACAGACGAGATATTATTTTGCCCAGGCTGATCTCAAACTCCTGGGATCAGGCAATCCTCTGGCCTAGGCCTCCCAAAGTGCTGGGATTACAGGCATGACCACCACGCCCAGTTTAATTTTGCTTCATTTTTAAAGGATTCTCATAGAGCACATCCCACTATAAAGTCCCTGAAAGGGCCATTTAAGAGATATACTCTCTGTGGACTAGTGGACAAAATTACACAGGGGACTGCACACTACTTCTAACTCTTAACAGCCTAAAAACAATCCGAGATGGAAAAGGCATCAGGAATTTTTTAAACATGAAAATGTGTTTACTTTTTTTTGTTTTAAAGGAAAGGAACACAACTCCTGGCGGCATCTCTGTAAAGTATTGACACACTGGTATTCTCCATCCCCAGTCCTGCTGGCTGTGCTCATATGCCTGTGCATTTTGGGGGTCAGCATTCTTTACCAGGGCCACCTCACTGGAGGGCTCCATGTGGAAGCCTGAAAATCAGCTCCAGAGCACTTGTTTAATCACCCATGCAAACCAGGCTCAGTGGCTCATCCTGTAATCCCACGCCTTTGGGAGGCTGAGGTGAGTGGATTGCCTGAGCCCGCGGGTTCGAGACCCGCCTGAGCAGGCAAGACCTCATCTCTACAATAAATCAAAAAATTAGCTGGGCATGGTAACGCACGCCTGTAATTCTGGCTACTCGCAAGGCTGAAGCGGAAGGATCGCCGGAGCCCAGCAGGTCGAGGCTGAGGTGGCCGGGAGCAGGCACTGAACTCCAGTCTGGGCGACAGAGTAAGACTCCAATTCAAAAAAAAAAAAATCACCCGTGCAAAGTCTCTGTGTGCCTATTACAGACAACCATCCCATCTCTGTTTTAGAATGACTTTTGTAGAGTTAATAATCTGTGAGTTATTTTGTGTTTTCCTTTTCTTTACAGGACCAGAGAACATACTAAAGCAAAGGAAGGAGATAGAGCAAATCCAGTGATAATGGGGGCGGAAGCCAGGTCAGGACGTGAAAATTCCTGCTGCTTCCTCTTCTTTTTCTCAAACCTCAGACTAAGTTCCAACTTCAAAGAACCACGCACGCTGACTCAGCAACAGTGATTGACATTTAATTTTATTA